CCTTTCGCGCGGCTACACTCTCCTTATAATTAATATAAACTCCTTCTCTTAATACAATATCGTTTATTGCGCGCGCAATTGATGTGGTGGTCGGATGACCATCAATGTCATTCTCCACTTGTCCAATGGAAGAAACTCAACAACTGGGTCCTCTGCGCTTTCGTGCGCGCCCTGCTTTGAAAACCGGTCCCAAGAAGCGGCCAAACAAGTACCACAACGTGCATGTCACCTACAAGATGAAGCAAAGCGTCATTGACAGCTTCGACGAGGTCGGCATGGCAGCCACACTTGCCAAGCACTTTCCACAACTCAGTGGAACCCGACTCAATACGACAAGAAAGAAGGTGTATGGGTGGCTCAAGCATCGTGCTCACATAAGGGTAAAGGCTACTAATCGACGAACTTATGACCATTTGTGCTCGCGTGACTTGGGCATGGCAACAACACTTCCCAGGGAGTACGAAGAACAACTTGCTCGGTGGGTAAACTCCATGCGTCAAGACGGCGATCCAGTGACACCGCAGATGATCCAAATCATGGCGTTGGAGACCGCTATTGACACCGGCCTGGATGAAGCCAGCGTCACCGCGAGTTGGCAGTGGCTGCGTGGATTTAAAAGACGCTTCAAGCTGTCGTGGCGTGCCCTCACCAGGTCCGGTGAAGGGGACTGTGACGCAGCGTTAGCCAAGTTCTCTGCGCGGGCTGCCGAGTTGGTCCGTGAGCACGTTCAAGTTGCAAGCCCCGAAGCGTCCAACACTGGTACGATGGATTACTAACTGTGGACTGGGTTGCCAGAGTCTATTATTATGAATGGATTTGGGAAGTGCAAGCTGGTCTCAAAGGTCACAGAAGCCATCGAAAGTGAGGAAGAGTTTGTGTCTCCGAAGATGATGTCCGACCTGGTGTCGATATCTGGTGTGGACGAAACGATTGATCCAACTGATGACATCGACAATAGTGTTCAACTTCTCTAAAAATAAGTACCTGGTTCTAGTATTGGGATAAGTCAGAATTATAACTGTCAGACTTGAGGTACCTGTGCAGAATAGATAAACCTCTATATGAATCGGGTGTCATGTGTGATGTGCTTGTATTAAGTTTTTGTATACCTAAATGGACATATTTTTCCAAGAGCTCAAACGTCGTGTGGTTGTGAAATATCACCCACCTAAAAGGACATAGATTATACGGTAGCTACGTGATACAGTGCGAGCCAAAAATGAGAGAACACTTACATTTTTTGTGATATCTCATCAACCAATGGGAGTTAAGCGATGCTGTTTGGTTATGATGTGTGAACGAATATTCTCGAAAAGTGATTATGGCTATCGAACTGGAATTCGCTTGATTTCGATGACCTCACATACAATTCAAAAATAATGGACGGCGACAAAAGTAAGGAACAAAAATACATACAAAAACTAAGATAAAGAATGACGGTATATTGAAGAATGATGGCCAATAGTGTGTCTTATCGCCTTTTTTGCAAATAACTTCCATGCATCTGCCGTCCATGGTGCCAATGAGCTTTCGAATGAACTCTATAGAGATGGCGTCCCATTCACTTTGAATATCATCCCGAAGGTCGACGACATTTCTGTACTGCTTGCCATGCCCGTAAACATGGCGGGACATTGCAGCCCAAATGTTTTCGATTGGATTCAGTTCAGGAGAGCGCGC